GCCATGAACAACAGCAGCATCCAAGATGCCTTGACTCAGGTCCTGCATCCTGGGTCATCCTGTGAAGTTCATGTTATTTTATCTTAGCACGTTTGAGTCTTAGAATGAGCACCCCTGCCAGGAGACAGCTGTGAGCTGGGTCCTCGGAGACATGGGCAGAACATTTCCTTTTTTTACTTGGACCAGGTCCCATCTGCCTTTTGGTGGCCAGACTCTAATCTCTCCTCCCATGACACATTCCCATCAAGCTTAAACTTTCTGGAATGGGGCTGCTGCCCTTCTTCCTGGGAAATGATTCCTCTCCAGTTCCCTAACTCTACTCCAAAGGCCTCTTCTCCTGACCTGCTCCAGTGCTGGATACATCCTGGCTGAGGCTAATTCTCCCATGTTCTGGCTGAGCAAAGAAGCATCCTCCAACGCTGATGTCATGGACACTGCGGCCCCAAGCCAATCCAGCTGCTTCCTCCCCTGTAGTATTCCCCTAGAGTTGTATTGGCATACAAATATTTAAATCTCAACTGGTGAATTAGGTGGGGAGGGAGAAGTGCTTTACTGACAGACTAATTTAGAAGATCCTCCCATGGTGATATGGGGGTCATTATCTCTCAGCTCCATGAGGCTGACAGCAACAACCCCCCGATCAGTTAAATTAATCCTCCTTTTAAATTGATAATAGGGCTCAACCTCAGAAGCTTGCTGTGTAAAAGAGGTCACCAAAAATGTTTGAAAACCACTGAACTAATTCAGCCTCACAAGCAGAAGAGCCAGACGCTCCTGTGAGTGGAAAAGACGAGTTCAGACAAGTTATTCCAGAACTGCACCCACACAACTCAATCCATGAAACAAGCAAGAGCCCTGCATCCACAGAGCAGAACAGTTGTTACCCAGAAACCTTGGCATGGTAAGTGTCAGTCTCATATATCACAATCCCTCCTCCCAACTTCAGAGCTCCCTCCTCTGACATTAAACAACACCCTCCTAACCCTGAATACTGGGACCAGAAACCCATTTTTCAGATCCTGCTACCTCCCAACCATGTTCTGCCCATCCTCAGAATGGAAATTGAGGGACAAAGTGACTTCCACACACATTTGTGCCCCAACTACATATTTTGGGTCCATTCCCCAGTTGTAAACTACAGCATCACTCAAGGCTGCTCTAATTTACTACAGCGTAAGAAGTCATGACATTTGGGGAATGATAATGGACAATGTATTGGACAAAGGACAAGAGCTAGGAGTTTTCAATGCAGCATCATAGCAAAAATGGCCTGTGTAATTCTGATAGTGGATGGCTCTTTAACCCAGCAGAAAAAACATAACAAGATCCAATGGCTGGAAGCCAAAGCTAAACAAATTCAAGCTATAAATAAGGCATAAATGTGTGACAGTAAGGGTAATCAACCATTCAAACAATGTATCTGTGGATGTGCTACATTTCCCACAATTTGAAGTCTTTAAGTCATGATTGGATGTTCTTTCTAACAGAAAGTTCAAACAGAAATGTTGAGCTTGGTATCTAAATGAATAGGTGAGATTCATTGAAATACAGGGTGTCACACTAGAGGACCATTCTGGCCTCAGAAACTCAGAATATATTAATTTTGTGCTGCATAAGAAAGGCTTCACCTCCTGGCGCAGGGAGACAGCGCTCCATCGGTATCAGAAGGGGACCTGGCAGAACTACAACTGTATCAGTGAATTCATTTCTGGGTACCTCATTGTCAGAAAGAAAATTAGAGAATTCAGAGAAGAGCTACTACAATGAAAATGACTAGGGAGGCTGAAGGGATTGACTTCTAAGAAGAGTCTATTATATTATCTAAGAATGTTTAATTTAACTAAACAGTCACTACGTGGTGGGCATGATAACATGGAACTGGAAGAATAACTCAAAACCAATGTGTTTGCTTCATGTTGCTAGTTGGAAACTGTCAATAGGCCATGATGTTTTCTGATTTGCTTGCATTTGGTAATTATTCATTCACTAATTTGTTGGTTTGTGAAGTAGTTATACCGTTTTGATATTCACCATACAAAATTTGAGACATTTTGATTAGTTACGCAAGTCACCAGCTAAACTTTGGTTCCCTGATGAGAGGGTCTAACGCTTGGTGCAGGGAGACAGCACTCCATCATTCCCTGATGAGAGGGTCTAACGCTTGGAATGAGGTGTCTGGTTGCAAAAATTACTTTTTGCAAATATTGTACAGTATTTCTTAAAACAAGCCTTACTAGGATAACCATGGAAGGGGACCACAAAAGGGGCATGAACACAAGTGGAGAAAGTTTGTTTTTATTTATTTTCAGATTTGTAGAAAACTTTTTGCCATGTGAATTCACCTCAAGCCTTTGAAAAGAGTGAACCCTAAGGAAGGAGAGAAATTATTAGGGCAGTGCAAGAGGCTGTGACTCAGAATAATGGGATGCAATTAGGAAAGGCCTGAATATCAGGAATAACTTTCTGTCATTAAGATTGATTAAGCTTTGAAATAGCTTCCCAAAGAAAGTTCAGAAGCTCCATTGCTTGGGATAGTGAACACATGAATAGACTGTTGTGTGGACTACTAACATGCATTGTAGGGGACAATCCCACATTAGCAAAGTAATGGACTGGATCTAAGAAAATAGGACTTGTCCATCCATAAGGATGAGGAGTATTTTTCTCCTGAAATGTATATTCAGCTTCATGGACTGGGTGACGTGTGCCCTCCCTGAAATGTTACTTGGTTCCAATTCTCTGAGTGGAGTATGGCTCACGCATAGGCTACGTCTAGACGGTGGGTTTGTTTTTTTTTTCAGAAAAAGGTACGCAAATTGTGCTCCACAATTTACATACCCTTTTCTGATTGTTTTTTCAGGAAAGGCTTATCTGAAATTTGGCCCGTCTACACTAGGCGGGAAAGGCTTATCTGAAATTTGGCCTGTCTACAGTGGGCCAAATTTCAGAAAATTGCCCTCTTTCGGAAGACCCCTTCTTCCTCATGAAATGAGAAAGACTGGTCTTCTGAAAGAGCGCGTTTGCACTTCTGCAAAAAAAAGCAAATACATTCTCTTGACTCGGCGGAGTTTTTCCGAGATACCTGGAGTTTTTCCGGAAAACTCTGTAGTCTAGACATAGCCATATAGTTTCCCCAGAACCAGTCCAGCTCGCATACACCCTCCAGGAATGGGGTCAAAAATCTTCTCATCATCCACTTCATCTCCAAAGGCACGTCTACATGGCAGAGCTAAAGCCGAAATAAGCAACACAACTAGAGCTATGTTAATTCGTAGCTTAAATTGAAATAGCTTATTTCTGCTTTTGGAGCTGTCTACACCGCAGGAAGTCTGAGAAAGAGCACTCTTCCTTCAATTTCCCTTACTCCTCATACAATGAAGGTTACAGGAGTCAGAGTAAGAAGTCCTATTATGTCGAAATAACTGCTTATATTATAGATGCAGACTATGTTATTTCAGAAAAATGCTAGTTATTCCGCAATAACACTGCTGTTGTAGACATACCCTAATAGATTATCCAATTAACAAGTCTTAAGATCCATCTCTCCTGACACTCTCTAGCTCCAAAACATGGTTAAAAACCACATCACAGAAACCTCTCTAACCCAATCCAGCCTTAGGAAATTGCACATGGCTGCCTCCTCCTCTGACTATGTGCATCTCCCGTATAACCCCTGGAACAATCACAAATGCCTCCTCCTCACAACCAGTTCATCTCAACAAATCTTTCCTTCTAAATCTTTCCTTCTGACACTGCTCTCTAGGGGATCCACAGCAGCCTCTTTCCCAGATATAATCAAGCTCCCAAGCAACCTCTGGATCTGTGACACGAGCACAACAGGAAGTGTGGCTGTTAGGGGGAGCTGGGGACAGTGCAATGAGAAATATTGAGCACAACAGGAAGTGTGTGTGGCTGTTAGGGAGAGCTGGGGACAGTGCAATGAGAAATATGGGTGTTGAGGCTTTTAGGTAGGTTTTCATGACTGCCTCTGTTCATCACCATCATGGTTGCTGGGGTAAGCACTGGAGGCTGGGATTTCCAAACTATTGGGAGAGCAAGAGGAGAAGAATAGTATTTAGGCACCCTGCACCTCACTCTCCTGACTCCAGCAAACTCCTTTCTTTCTCCAATGTGCCATAAAAGTCATAAGACTCAGCAGATAACCTGAGCAGGAAAACAATAAAGTGTCCAGAGTTCAGATAGTCCAGAGCACCCAGTCACTGTCCTCAGTGGCCTCCTCTGGCTGAGAGCAGGCACCATGGTTACCCACCTCGGAGAACACTTTTAAATTCTGGGGAGGGAATTGAAACCAGGAGTAGGTGTGGGCCTCAGGCTCTAGTTACTGTCAGGAAGATGAGAGAGAGGGGTGGAGGAAAGGGGGAGGACAGAAGGAGATTTGCCCTTTGGACAAAGTAAACCCAGGCTTCCTGTTTCCTCTGGTTAGGGGCACTCTAACCACTGAACAGAATCCCTGATTATTTTGCCCACAGGGCTCCACCCCTCAGGGTTTGAACCAAGCCCCCTTGTTACTATTCCTAAGGATGCAGATCTGTCAAAGACAGACCCCAGAACTCCCAGGGTGCAACCTCCCCAAGGGGTCTGTTTCCAGTGAAGACTAAATTCAGACTCTGCAGAGAGAAATCCCCATTAAGAATTAAATGTAGCTCCCTGATGACTGTGCGTGAGGAAGGGAAATACACCTAATTACCAGGCCCCTGGTTATTTTCCCTTAGAAGGGAATACTCCCTGGAGATTCCACTCTATATCCTAAAATGGTGGGCGGATTTCCTCCCTCTCCCCTGGCTTCTTTGGTGAAATTGCCTGTCAGCCACCATTACATTCTTGATTAAATCTTCTGACATGGCTCAGCTGGAATTCCTATATAAGGCCTCATGTCTCTCCCTTCCCTGTTCCTCCTGGAATGTGGCAATAAAGCAAAGTTCTCCCCCTCCCCACACAAACATAGTACTACTAAGAGAGACAGAATCTGGTTCTCTTACCTGCTGGGTGTCACATCCTTGATTTTTGGGCCAGTGTTTTGCTCTGAGCCCAGCTCCGGTAGCTGTTCCTGCTGTCGCTCCTGCAGTTGGAATCAGGTTTAAGATTTTCTCTCTTCCCCGAGGCTGAAGGTATTTCATTTGTGTTTAACTTTTCAGGTGAGTAGGGCACACCTACTCTAGCTGGGAGAGACAGGAAGCGAGGAGAGCTATAGGCTGATTGGCCTTTGCAGAGCAGAGTCTAGTAAGGAAATGCAGAATGCATAATCACAGACTAAGTTAAGAGAAAAGAGAGAGAGAAAGCTGAGCACAAGGAAAAGTGAAAGAATAATTAATACAGGGAGATGGGAAGAAAGGAGAGACGGAAGGAAGATTACAACATTAGATAATTTGCCCATTAAAAATACACCATACTTTTAAAAAACTAAAATATCTGAATCTGGGATTTTTTTCCGGAGGCAATGCCAGTGTTTGGGCCAGTGCCCTCTAGAAATGTAAAGGTGAATCACAACTGGTTTGCTTTTCTTTTTGTTTCACCTTAAAATTGTAATTGGATCTAATATTGCCAGCCACAACCATTCAACAATCAGGCCCTAAAAAATAATGTCTTAAAAATCAGGAGGGTTTTTTTTTGTTTGTTTTAAATAAAGAAATATAGGGAGGAGGTTTATTTGTGCTTTCTGGCTTCTGAGCCATACAGGCTCACTCAAGTCATGTTTTCCATCATTTCTCAACAAACACGAGGGCTAGCAATTTTATTTTTATACAAAAGCACATAGTCTTATGCCAAGTCTTGCGTACAACAGCTGGACCTGAAGAGAAAACACCACATTTTGTGAGAGTTGGCAACGCTGCAAGGTGACAGAAATAAAATGAACAAGCAGCAGGGCCCCACTTCTGCAAAGGAACTGCGGGGACTTAATGACTATCCCTAGGGTTTTCAGTGGGGTCGAAAGGCATTAGGCACCTGAAACCCATAGAGATTCAGTGAGATTTGGAACTCTAACTGTCTTCGGTTCCTCTGAAACTCCTAGTCCACAGCAAGCACACTCACAGAGGCACATATAAACATGAGTCAGTTAAATGTCCTGAGTAATCTTCTCATGAACCCTTCCCCATATCCCTGTGCATTGGGGTGTGATGTGGAGGAAATGCCAATGCTAGATCCCTTTCTTCTAGGCAGGTTGCAGCTAGAAATATTTTGTGAATATTTTGAGTGAAATATTTTGACCAAAACTTTTTTTTATTGAAAAATGCAGACTCAGTCCCACTGAAATACTAAACGAGTTAGTGTTGATTCTGTCAAATTGCTTCAGTAAGGGTACGTCTAGGCTGTGGCACTATTTCGGGATACCAGAGGTATCCCAAAATAGTTATTCCAAATCTTTTGAACCAGCCCATTATTTCAAAACAGATTTCAAAATAATGGGCTCACTATTCTGATATCCCTATAACCCTCGTTCCATGAAGGTTAAGGGACATTTAGGAATAGCGGTATATTTCAAAATGTTTCAGAATAAGATATGCAATTTGCGTAGCTGACACATGCCCCGATGATTCCCGTCAGAGTGTCGTTACAACTACTGGGACACATGGCTGCCTCAACAACTGTTGTTCAAAATGCAAGGTTACATTTTCGCTGCCTCCAACACTGGCTGGCTACAGTATATACTCCAGTGAGGGACAGCGTTCACAAGGTGGTGGTGATACCACCACATGTACAACAATCCCTGCAATGGTGGACCAAGCCGACCAATCTTACAGCGGGCATTCCCTTTCACCGCCCACAAACGTCGAAGCAAATAACAACAGATGTGTCCCTTACTGGCTGGGGAGTGCACATGGATGACATGACAGTTCAAGGTCGCTGGTCTATGCAAGAGATGCTCTTACACATCAACATTCTCGAGTTAAGAGCAGTGCGTCACGCATGTCAGCATTTTCAGTCCCATATAAGGAATACGACCATCAGAATCCTTATGGACAATATTGCCACCAGGTACTACGTAAACAGACAGGGAGGGGCTCGATCCCGATCCCTCTGTATAGAAGCGATGTGCTTGTGGAAATACCATCCTGACAGCCACCTACTTGCCGGGCGTCCAGAATACTATTGCAGACTCACTCAGCAGGCTGTTTCCCCACGACCATGAGTGGGAACTTTGCACGGACATTCTGCATTGTATTTTCACCCAATAGGGGTTCCCCTCGATAGACCTGTTTGCTACGGCAGCCAATGCCAAGTGCCCCAATTATTGTTCCAGGGCAGGGATCGGACACCACTCCTTAGGAGATGCTTTTCTTTGCAATTGGGGAATGTCATTACTATACGCCTTTCCCCCGATCGTCTTAGTTCCCAGAATCCTGGAAAAGATCATTATGGAAAAGGCTCGAGTAATCCTCATGGCTCCAGCTTAGCCACGGCAGCCTTGGTATTCAATACTCCACCAGATGTCCATCAGGACACCGTACACCCTTCCTCTGCTTCCAAATCTCTTGACTCAAGACAACAGCTCCCTTTATCATCCGAAACCCGAGACCTTACACCTCACAGCGTGGATGCTCGCTGGTTCAACCCAGTCGAATGCTCATGCTCACAGAGAGTCAAGCAAGTATTAGAACATAGCAGAAAGGAGTCTACTCGAAAGACCTACCTTGCCAAGTGGGCCGGATTTGAAGTGTGGTGTGGCAGTGATGTCAGGGACGCTCACGTGGCAAGAATATCCCAGATATTTGATTATATTTTGCACCTCCATGACACGGGCCTTGCAATAGCCTCGCTGCGAGTGCATCTAGCAGCAATTAGTGCTTTTCATTGGGGTCAGGATGGGTTTTCTGTATTTGCTCATCCCATCACAAAGAGGTTCCTAGAAGGACTTACGAAGTTCAATCTACCATGACAACCACCACCACCTTTCTGGAATTTAGACTTCGTTCTGGATTCCCTGACACGCCCCCCCTTTGAACCCTTAGCTACGATACCATTACAGCTTCCGACCACAAAATTGCTTTTTCTGCTTGCCATTATATCGACCTGCAGAGTGAGCAAAATAGCTGCGTTCATGTTGTCACCTCCTTACACGATTTTTACTAAGGAGTCGGTGACTTTGAGATCTCATCCAGCGTTTGTTCTGAAAGTTTGTTTGGATTTCCACATAAACGAGCCAGTTGTTCTTCCCTGTTTCTATCCCAAGCCTCATGCTTCAAGGGAAGACGCAGTGCTACACACGCTCGATGTAAGGAGGGCATTAGCTTTTTATATCGAAAGAACGTGACACTTTAGGAAATCGGACCGCCTAATAGTGTCATTAGCGGATCAAACCAAGGGACAACCCATCACTTCCCAATGGATTGCGAGATTAATAGTGTCGTGTATTACAACCTGTTACTCCATACGTAACAAACCTCGTGTGTGTTCTCCTAAGGCCCATTCTACGAGAGCAGTAGCCACAACTACAACTTTTCTCAGAGGTGTTCCATTCCGAGACATTTGTTGAGCAGCAACATGGTCCTCTCATTCTACCTTTATGAGGCATTATGCTGTAGTAAACCAATTTGCTGCCTATTCCTCAGTGGCTACGGCAGTTCTTTCCCATATTCAAAAACCTTAATTCCAGAGCGCTCAAGTGTTCAAGTACTGCTCTGAAGTCACCTGGAGTGGAGCACCCGTGGGGCCACTCAAAGAAGAAGAAGTTACTCACCCTGTGAAGTAACGATTGTTCTTCGAGATGTGCCCCGTGGGTGCTCCACGACCCTCCCTTCCTCCCCGCTCCGGAATTTTTCATTTTTCTCGTTTCAGGGAGCGGCTGAGAGGAATTGAGCAAGCCAGACCGCGCGCAACACATCAAAGGCACGAACGCCATCTCTGGCAACCACGCATGCGCGGTCCGGCGGACCACAGCTCTGATAGCTCTCCGATTTGTGGTGCCGGGACAGGACCCGACACCTGGAGTGGAGCACCCACGGGGCACATCTCGAAGAACAAACGTTACTTCACAGGGTGAGTAACTTCTTCTAGCTGCATCCCTAGATTGATTCTGTAGGCAGTTTCATCACTTGAGACAGAAAAGGAGGATAGGAACCTCAGCAATAGAGGAGATAATTAGATGGCACAAAGTGAGGTGGTAGCATGAAACAATGAAATAATATAGACGCCCAAATGCCCTTCATTCTATTCCCTTGAATAGTGTTCCTCTCACAATTGATGTGCCTGCGAGCACAAAAGAAAGAAGAGTGGTTACTAATTCATATCCTGTATCGATCCTGCTGGTACTTTTTTCATTGAGGTCAACCTGATTCTCGACAAGCCATGGTCTATACTAGGGAGTTATTTCAAACTAACTCCCCTTATGTCAAAATAACAAGCAGTGTCCACACTACCACACCCATTATTTTGAAATAATGGGCTGGTTATTTTGAAATCTCTACTCCTGCTTTCTTCAGGGAATAACGCTTATTTCAAAATTGTTATTTTGAAATAGTGTGAGTGTGGACGTTCCGGTGCTGCTAATTCGAAATAATTGGCCTCCAGCGGCCTCTCACGGCTGCACTTCTGGCCGCTCTGGCCACCCCTGCCAGCTCCACTGCTCCCCTTCTCCTGCAGAACTTACAGCAACAGGCTGCAGGAAAAAGGCTTGTGTCATATGCAGACCTTTGCCAGCCCCGTGCCACACAGCAATATCCTAGGAGCCATGGCAGACCCCACTGCTCCCTCTGAGCCCCTTCCCAGCTGCATCACTCCTGCAGCCCGCTCGATTGCCACTGGCCAGGGACGCAGGAGAGCTCTGGCCTGGACACGTGCAGAGATCCTGGACCTCATTGAGATCTGGGGAGAGGAGACCAACCTCCAGGATCTGTGCACCAGAAAGAGAAATGCTGATGTCTACAGTCGGTTGGTTGCCAGCTTGGCCAAGAAAGGCCATACCCGGATCCACAGCCAGGTCCAGATGAAAATAAAAGAGCTCCAGAAAGCCTACAACAACGCCAGGGAACAGAGTGTTTGCTCTGGGGCAGCACCTCAGACGTGCAACTACTATGAGCAGCTTGATGCTCTCCTGAGAGAGGGGCTGGTCACCTCCCCACATTGTTGTCAAGTTTGGCCAGGACATGCCCAGCGTCAGCCTCCACAAGGGGGGGTTGTGGAGGAAGATGAGATGAAGGAGCCAGGCCACCATGCTTGCAAGGCAGAAACTGTTTTTTATAAGAACGGCCGTACTGGATCAGACCAAAGGTCC